TAAGTATGTTTTTCTTTCTCTTATATACCTAGAAAAGATAGATAATAATTGAAACAATATTGAGATTTGAAAGTGACTTTTGAATGAGATCCTTTAGTAAGATATTCGGCAATGTATCGTGAGCCAGGTGCGTGGGGTAATTAACACCAATCGACTTCGAAATATCGCTGAATCCCGCACGATCCAATTATGCTCCACACTATTATTTAATTATGTCACTGCATGAAGTGAGATCGAAAATCTATTTCAGAAGTGTTTATCAAACTCAATGGGTAATTTATAAGGAGCTCTTAGTTGTCATTAACTAGAGAAAAATAACCAAAAATGAAATAGTATACCTAAAATGGAATACTGAAATTATAATTTATAGTACTTTTACTTTGCGTATTTCAAAATAAATATTTTCAAAATAATATTTATTTTGATATAAGCAAAGCAATGTGAAGCTCGATGAGATAGCTATGACCCACGAAGCGGGGCTAATGTGGATTGTAGGGTATTAACGACTGCAGATGCAGTCTGAACCAATGGTTAAACGTGCCTTTAGAAGCACGGAAGAGCTCGAGATATTATTTTTTGGTCGGCCATCGTATTGGCGTTGTAAAGTTATCGCCCATCGTAAAGTTGTTTATCTTCCGTAACGCAGACTGGATGCGCTAACCATTGCGCTTTCGATCTCCTCACTTGTAATGTATTATAGAAAAAACGTATAGTCAGAGGCGCTATCATCGTTGCGTTAAAAGCATTCTAAAGGTACCATATTCAAATTTTAGCACCTCCTCTGTCACTTAAGGGCCTGACTAGGCATAATTCAAATTGCGAGCTCAGTGGCGCCCTCTGGGCCTATACAAGAGTCGTCGAGCCTTGTCGAATATTCATTAGACGGTCTTGATTACTGGCTGAGTACCATGAGATATTTTTATTAGAAGATTAAAGTTTCGGAGTGATAATAACGTTCTAGATGAGTTTCCATTGATGAAGTTATACAACTTGCGCTTGGTAACTGAAGGATTGTATAATTTTCTTCAGATCAGATAAATAATGAAATTAAAGAAAAGTTTTTTTCTTATTATATTTTTTATTGTATCGATATCTTCCTATCCAGATCACCGCTGATTTTTCAAAAGTTTTAAAAGTCAAAACAATTCATAATACAAAGACTTTCAAATTAGTTAACGCCGCAACTTAAAAATTCAGACAATCCAATACGATTAAGCAACTCGAGGGGAAGTCAGATGAACCGTCTCTTTCATACATCAAGATTTTGATTAGTGTAACAGAGACAACCGTCATTCGAGATTCATGCCAATGTGAATTGGATTTGGAGTGTTTATACAAAAATCGCTAGATTGTGATTACCGATTTATAAAATATCTCATATGTCATGCTAAAATTATACAATATCGCGTATTGAATCATTATAAAAAATCTGTTTATTAATTATTTTAGATGTAAGCGGTTTATTTTTTGTTTTGTATCGCAATACATCTTCCTTCCTACTTTCTGTCTGGTAGACTGGTAAAGAGTGCCTTTAGCATTAAATCCGCCGTTTCCCGTTCCAAGCAATAAAGATTAAATAAATAAATATGACAATATTTATAAAGACAAAAATATCACTAAATTTTAACAAAACAACATAAGCAAAATTGTCGTAACATTTGTAATAGTATTTACATATATTTATTGTTTGAGCTTTTTAATACGTGAACTTTTATACAGTTTGTGTGTAATTTAAATATTACGCAACATGCGTTTAGAAATAAATCATAGACAGCTAAAACAACGAACGTGCGTGAAACGACACGGAAAGTAAAAGAAGTGACATATCAAATAATTATGGTCCTCATATTACTCAGAACCATATTCATTATTGCCAAAACCTTCCACTTTAATTACAATACGCTTATTAATCAATAGGTGAAAATAAACTAAATGTCTTTTCGTTGGTAGTTTTGGGTTGTCTCTTATTCAGACATGAGAGAAATAAGAATTTCCTATGATATGAACAAAGATAATAACTTCACATAACTTGTTAATACCATTAGAGATTTTTCTACCGACTCAACAATTTCAACTCTAGTTAGCATATCGTCGAGATAGCTTCTCGAATATTAAACAGGTCTTTGTTTCTGACCCTACTTACTCCTTCACTATGCTAATAAGTGATGTCAGTTTGTTTATGTTGGTCTGGCTTTGGATCTGAATGTTTGATTTTGTGAGAATTTACCTTTTAATAAATATGAGTCGAGGATAACATTTGATATTCGATAAAATCAACAGTTTAAAAGTTTATTTGACTATCAAAACAATTACAGTGAAACTATAATTTATTTTAATAATATTTACACTCACATTCTCTTACTATAGAGTGGTTCACCCCAGTTTTGTAAGGCTAAAATTAAGATAAACTATTCAACAAAGCTATTCTGTAATAAAATCAACATTAAAGTTGACGTCGCGCATAGCTCTCACACCATTGAAGTTCGATCAATTAAAACCCACCTCGAAAAGTAATAAAGTAAGGGTAATTTATATATTTATTTCACCACGGACAGCAATAAATGCTGGAATTCTTTAAACTAATCCTCGATTTATTTTCATCTTCATCGTGCTCTGTAAAGGTGCGTCGTACCACCGTGTATTTCGCCCTAGGTATCCGCATACAAACTTTTCGTCTTTGAACTTTAACATCATTTATTTTTATTATTAACTCTTCGTAATTTGAAATTTTGAGTAATAAATAAAACTCGTCGAGTTAAAAACATAATACATATTTAATTTCAATCAATAGCCATTTGTTCTAAAAAGTGTTAAAATCTAATTATTATTATTACCAGTTTCCGTTATACGAGTTTGAACTCAAGTTAATAGTCTCAATATAAAATCAAATACAATAAAGGTATTACGCACCAAACCCGAAAAAAATGTTTTTTTGATTGACTCTTTATTAAATCAAGTTCTCGAGCTTAGTCGGCATTTTATTCATTTGCCTAAGCTTCGAACCCGTCACAGCTATATCCTAACCAAATGCTAACATTAGAGCAGAACAGACGACTTAATAGTCCATTAAGGTGCAGGGCTAGAATTAAAATTGCGACACAATGAAAAGAGTGAGTGAAAGGTATTAAAGAAAAGAGTAAGCCAGAAGTAAGAAATTTCCAACAAATTACAAAATATTTTTTTAAAATAAATTAGTACCGAATTAGTTATTTTTTGTCATCCGCAATAATCATCATATTTGTTTTCATCAGCTTATTGATGTCGTCATTGCTGAGGCACAGGGCTTCCCTGTGGACTGAATCGAATAGGAAGAATAGGCCATAACCAACAAGTTAAAAAAAAATAAAGTAATGGTGACCCATACTATCACCAGTCATAGTAAAATTCTGCATTGCGGACAAAATACACGAACTTCTGGATCACCGAGTCATACTCCCGTAACTAACTAAAAATCTGGATGAATTTTAAACATAAAAAATTCATAGTGAAACAGTGTCAATTATTGAAATCTTTTTAGAGATGTTCAAAATGTAACCACATACATAAAAATATAATCAGCGCACTAATTTTAATATTATCAACATGTCAAAACTATAATAGGGGTCTTAAATGTTCTTTATAGTTCCATTTTATTTCAAATGTATTTATAAATAATTTATTTATCATAATATCTTTGAAAACATATTAGTGCATTCTGTGGTCACCTTTATCTTCCCAGACAAGAAATATTTAAGTATTAACCTCCAAATATAATATTACATACTTATATTGAGATCGTGGCAAACAATAAAATAAGCCATTTAGCTATTAAAAATCCCAATAGAGAATTTAAAATTTTATAATAATATTTCGCACAGTTTTACCAAGTTTTTATATAAATAAGTTAATACATTTTAATACCATCCATTGTTAAACATTTCTCCTTTAATTCAGTAAATGCCAGCAGAAGCCTTAAAGAACTTTTAAAAGAATGTCAAGGAGGTGACAAAGTTCAGGCTTTTATTCGAGATAGGTTCTTTCATAAACTTACGAACAAAGAGAAAACTTCATTAAAACTATGGCTACAACTAGGTGAGTGGCAAACTCTATATTTACGATATACAGCTCTTGATTTTTACAATAAAAGAAGTAATATCTCTGTACTATTAATAACGTAGCATGAGTAAGTAAATTATATTTCTCCAAAAATGCCCTATTTTTCTTTTCCATATTCTTGAACCTTTAGAACACCAATCCTTCTCCTCAGCATCTCTTCAAATATAGGACGCAATGCCTGAGTAACCTAAATAGTTTCCGAATCACCCTCGAATTTCTTCACTTCTTTTGACATTTTCTGTATTCCAAATGTTTAAACAAAAGTTACGCACTCTTATCCCACATGAATCTATAACTCTTCGCCTACGTACTATTTTGATTCTGTTAGTACACCAACGAAAATTCGACAAATTTCGGAACGTTCTTATAATTTTGTTGATACATTATCCGTGAAAATTGTCTTTGCATCAGAGGCAGTGTTAGGTCCTACCTCTTTTTTTTCATAAATTATCGAAAAATGGGTTTTATTAGAGTTATATTAGTATTTCGTTTTTCGTGAAACAGAATAGGCCTTCAGGTAATGTCATTCCATATCAAAGATGACTGACCTTACGACACATGATTGATAACTTTTTATAACCGTAACCCACACCTTAACGTCTACAACTCTTCAGTAGCAACATATCATTGCCACCAGATCAATTATTGTTTTACTATCGTTCTCAGGATATTCTTTGGCCAAATTTTTCGGTTATCGTTTATATAAGATAAAACAAATGTTTCATCTTTAGCTCCCATTGGATAGCATCTACCTTTCATACTGCCAAACCACCACTGTCGAAACATTTCATAGTTTCTATGTTCAAGAACTCTCTCCTGGTTGTTCAGCATCGAGCACAGCTCACACAGACCTCTATCGCGGTCTCCTTTGTGTATAGTATAATGATACTTCCAACTATGAAAACTATAGTAGACTGAAGGATTTTTGATGCTAAAATCTATAAGGGAAGCTAACTTTTCAATTGATCCTGTTCCAGCATTGATATACGAACCTTCTGGGAGAAATCTGAAAAAAAAATATTATGAACAAAGCAGCACATTTTCAACTACATATTTTAAACTGATGACAAAGTTCATCTAAGAAATACAAATTCAAAAATATTGTTAAAATTGTGTAAGACTAGTAAATTGATCTTTTGCAATCTATTACTGTTTTGAGCTATTTTAATTTAAGCTGCACGTCACACTACACACCAACACCGTAAGCAGACCTTTGTCAGTAGGGAAATTCTTTAGCAGACGTTATTTAGTAAAAACTCTTTCACCAACGGGAAACTACATCATAAGCAGGTGACATGGGCTATTATTTACGTGAGGATAGACACGGGCAGCTAGTAATAAATATACTTACAGTGTGTAATCAGCTCCACCTTTCACTATAGGTACAGTATTATGATGATAAGCTTTGAGAACTTCTTCAGTAACATAATCTTTGGCGTGACTAGGCTCATACGCTAAATAGAAATAGTAGTATTTTTCCAATGCCTGCATGCAACCCTCTTTTGGACACGTTTTCATAGAACACCCATAAATATCCAACTCTAAATCATGTTCTTTCAGAGCCTCTTTTAATTTTCTTACATATTCCATTCTGTTAATTCTAGTGTTACAACTTTCAGGTATCCAAGCAACTGCTTTTTTCTTCGTCTTCAATTTTTCTTTGTCAGCATCCGTTAGTGGTTTCATATTTTCTATCCATTTCACTTCTCGTCTAGGCGCTACTGTATTACCACCTGTATCTTTAACTTCTATAAAAGGAGTTGAAATGTCTGAATCAATTTTATAAGACCAAGTCCAGTTGAAATAGCCATCTGCATTGACGTTGCACACGGGAGTTTCATCAGATGATCGCATACTGTGGAATAGATATTTTTGCTTTACAGACCTCTTTTGTGGCATTACTATACTGTTCCATAAAGATCGCCTTAAGACACCAATATCTATCAATACGACGTCGAACTCTTTGTTGTAGCCTTTCAACAGGTGCTTATCTGCTGACAGGTAACAATTCACGAATGAGCAATTATTCTTCACAAACGCTCCTGGTCCTTCACCGAAGAAATTAACGTTAAAATCTACGGTTAACCATATTAGTATGTATTTCATTTCATTATCTATTCGATGTCCACCTGAACCGAATATGGGCTTCGGTAATCCAGGTGTATAGTAATGTTCAGAATTGTAAACGGTTGTATACGCCGTATGAAAAGTATAAAAGGCTAATATAGTATATGTCAGTAATCCTGTGAAGCTCACCAGGAAAAATAACTTGGCGTAAGTCTCAGTTCTTCTGATAATGTGCATCTTGTGTATCTCGAACGTTGTAATGGATCTGAATGCTGCAGTATTGAATACTCCAGCAGCGGTGATGCGATGTGTAAGGTAAACAAGAAATTCTTCAAATTAAAAATAAACAATACTTTAACAACAATGTGACGGAATACATGAATAATTGTTGGAATAAATTGACTACTTTTATATCAAACTTGAATTCATCAACACAAAAATAAACAGATAATTAAAGTAACTCAAAAGGCCAGTGAAGGAATATTTAAATGAATAAATTTTATATTAACGCGTATTAGGAGAAAATAACTATTTTATGCCGGTGGTTTTCTTACTGCAATTAACTAAACAAAAGTAAAAAGGTTTGAGGTAGTACGACAACGGAGAAATTCGAAGCAGAGCGAACATGTTGCTTGTTTGATATTTGATTTGAATACCATGTTTTCTGAACTACATCAAAGCGCTATATTAACATTCTAACCTTTGCTTTAGACCATAAATAAAACAATCATCTATATCCTTTTTTTATTAACTGAGAAACACAACGAAATATATTTGAAACTAGCTGACCCGACAGACTTCGTCCTGTCAAAAAGATTTGTAATGTGGCAGTTTTTTTGCCTACGTATTTAAAAAAATTCTCCTGAACAGAACCGTCACCCTGGTGATAGGGCGTTGTGAATAAAAAATAATTAAATAAAACATATATAAGGATTTAAAAGTAAGTAATCGCTTTATTGTTAATCATGTGAATCATAATTATTATTGCAATGTATTAATAGTAATAGTATTAAATATAGAAAAAAGAGATTTTTATGATCATAAAAACACATTACACACAACAGCATTATAAAAGTAAACTATTCGAATTAAAAAAATATATAAACATTCTCAAGGAAAAATGCTGGAAGAATCCATCTACCTGTACCCCGGAATGGGACTCGAACCCATTCGCGATCCAGGGACTGCTCTAACCAATGAGCTATCTAGGACCCAACAGCTTTGCTACTACAGAGCGTATTTTCATCAATGTTCCGGCAATACATGTAATGACGTGGAAACTGATGCATTTTATCTCGCGTGCCGAAACTAATACAAAAGAAACGCGAGTTTCGGAACGCGACATTAAACTCCTCCAACTATGTATTCTGTGCTCCAACGCACACACGCACATTGTTTTGATAGATATGATCTTTGACGTTAGGAACACACCTACATTGCTTAGACAACAGTGAGTGCTTGTAATTTAATATGAACTTTATACCATAGCAATAAAGCTCAAATTGACTACGTTTTAGTTACAAATCATTTGTATGGGAAAAAGAAAAGGGCTATTTTTAGGGTTTTTCCAGCAATAATTCTATTTTTCTCGCCGTAAAAACCATCCTTGAACTTCAACGAACATTTTAAAAAAAGATTTGGCCAAATTGGTCGAGGCGTTGTTGAGTTATGCGCTTACCAACACATTTTGCGATTCATTTTTATATATATAGATTACATTTTACTTTGGTTACTTGTCTCTACAAATTATCCTCCATTTTACATGCATAAAAATTGTTACTTTTTTATTTTGTACGAGTAAAGTATTCGTGTCGTCTCAAAGGGCTGTCTGTCTGTCTATGCACATCTAAAATCTCTCAAGGAAATTTTTCTATCAGTCGATGTCTCCCTCTATTTGCTAAGACCTGTTTCGTTAGAGGCGGTGTTTGTTTCCATTGTGATACGGCCTTTATCATGTGTAAAAAGTTTTACGTTTCATCTTTGCCATTTGTATGTGCCCTTCAAATCTTAATAAGATGCTTAAAAATATTTAAAAAAAAATATTAATTATTTTATTTTACCCTTATTTCATAATATTCTAACGTGTACCAATAAGTATATGAAAAAATCTAAATCATTATCCCATTTTTACATAAATCTTTGTGTGTAATAATAAAAGATAAAATTTATTGTATGAAATAGAATCACATTAACATTTTAATATCAGTAAGTAATCGTTTTCAAAACTGTTAATATCTTACTACACAACGGGTTTTTTATTTTGGGATTTTAGTCTGGGCCTGAAATACCTAAGTTTGGTTATACGATCATACGAACTAATTGTGCTCGATATACGAGATACCTCGATAGGTGCGATAACCTAATAGATATTTCCTATAGGATATCTATTAAATTATCGCACCTTTATTAATAAATATATATTATAGATAGCTTAGACTCTAACTCAACGATGCCTGTCCTTGCTCCTTTATTAAAGAAAGGCACCGGTGTCAAAGTGGTCATGCGAAGAAGTGTGTGACCAATTAAAACATTGAAATAGGTAACATTGAAATTTAGCTTTGAATGTACGTCAAAACCATCATGTAATTGTTGTACAGTATTATGTTTATTTTACTCTTCTGTTTAAGAATAAAGATAACTTCTTTATGCAGTTGCTCGTCCAGTTTTATTCAGCTAAGAAGACTCCAAAAATATTGTGCTAGCGACGCCCTTCTCTCATTTGCATTTGAAGTCTCGGTCATTTAGAGTCATGCGTATGTGCAGCAATCAGCAACACATAATTTATATCAGAAATTGTGCACTTGTATCACACGCCTACTACTCGAGTTGCTCGTGTTGCGAGTGAAAATGGATACTCGTACCGCTCTTTGCATGTAGGACGTCGAGTCTTCGGCAAATATGGACATCGCGTATGAAGTCAAACAGAATTACGTATTCCATAAAAATATACCCCTTTTGCGCACGTGACGACAACTGACATCCCACTTGACTCGTACGAAGCCTCTAGATGATTGTCAATAAAAAAAAATAACAAGAAACAAGCACAGTGAAAAACGCAACAAATCCACCAGGATTCATTCACTTTTTTCATGAGAACCAATGGAATGGTATATATCAGTAGCCCTGTTGCATCTCCACTGCTCAGTCATTGGGATGGTTAAGGAGGATAGGCGATAACATAACACTCCACGCTGGCTCCATGTGGATTTATTGTATTAAGCACTGCATGTGCTTTCCGAAGCACGGAGTAGCTCTTGATAATTATTTTTTGGTCACTCATCCGTGACCCACCCTTGCAAAAGTTGCTTGGCAACAACGTTCATGAGCGGCGACGCTTATCCACTACGCTACTAAACTACTACAGGAGTGGAATACGCTACATACTAATATGTTCCTCAATTAGTGAGACCTGAATCTCCTTGAAGTCGCATTAAATACATACTTTCTATGCAAACATATTAACACAACAGAACATGAGGATCTTATCCTTTTTTAATGAAATTCCTTCCTTTAAGAAGCATACGACACATTATATATTTTTTTAAATCGTCTCAACTGTTTGAGATGGGCTTAATGACTGATATTTTCCTATAAGATATATAATCAATATAAAATTATATATGCTAAATATATTGAACCGTACCCCAAGGTTTGATATTAGGCCCATTTCTTTTCCTATTTTAAATAATCTTCCTCGAGAAATATTGCGAGTAATTTCCTATTGAAAAAAAATATATATTTATGTCGAACAAAATTATATTCTTAAGGACACAAAATGGAGTAACTGGCATCTTTTATAAAATAAATATCAATGTTACTGTCATGTTGTAAATAGTCATCTCTCCAACGTAAGAGATTAAGTTGTACAGCTTTTGCTGTTAAGAAAATCAGACTTCTAACAGATAGCGAATCCGGCCGAGAATCATTGGACTCGGAACGATAGATAGCCACAGCTAGTTACCAATTGAACATTGGTAATTATGCTATGTAGGTACTTGTAAGATAAATTTGAATATAACTTTGGCATAGAAAACACATTATTATCATAGCCCAATAACGTCAACTGATATAATTATAGCTAAGACAGCTATTAAGATTGTATTTACTGAATCTATACTATCGCTACATAGTTTAAAACAAAGTCGCTTTCTCTGTCCCTATATCTCCCTATATCCTATGTATACTTCACCAGCCCTTTTACGTCCCCACTGCAGGGGCTCAGGCCTTCCTTATGGATGGTTAAGGAGGATGGGCCATGACCCTCCACGCTGGCCCAATGCGGATTGGAGGGTATTAACGACTGCAAATGCAGCCGGGACCAACGGCTTAACGTGCCTTCCGAAGCACGGAGTAGCTCGAGATAATAATTTTTTGGTCACCCATCCTGTGACCGACCCTTGCGAAAGTTGCTTAACGACTACGATCGCGGGCCGCGGCGCTTATCCACTGCGCCACCGAGCTACTCCATCCGGCCTATGTATGCTTAAATCTTTAAAACTACTCAACGGATTTAGATGCTGTTTTTTTATAGATAAGATGATTCAAAAGGAAGGTTTGTACGTATAATACAAGACCACGCAGGCGGAAAGCTAGTAATATTATAAAGAAGAAAGATTTTATTGTTTTTTTGTTTGCATCGAATAGGCACTAAAATTTTTGATCTTTTTTTTTATTTCTGTCACCTAAGGGAAGAGGCATCTTACATGGTTGATATGAGCTATTATTTACGCGGGAGAAGTTGCAGGAAAACTGCTAAGTATTTACAAATAAACAATCGATCCATTAAAAATTATAATCTTTCGAATCTGAAAAGTGACTTTATAAGCACTGATTTACTTTGAAATCGACCGTGAAGTGATAAATACTAATGCGGCATAAATATGTTAATTAATATATTTATTAAACTTCAATAAAATTTAACAAATTTTAAAATTATTAAAATACGTTATAAATAATATAATTTCAATATATTTGCTAATTACAAGTATACACAGCTTTGCCATATCATTATAATTATTGATAAAATTTATGATAATTACAGTGCAGAATTTTATATTACAAGTTTACATAAAGTATGTAATGAGAGGCTGTAAGTATTTGAAAAATTTTAGAATTAATTGCCTGCCTCAAGTAAAGTAGCTCAGTTGGAAGAGTATCCACGCGGATAGTAAATAGTTTCAAATTCTTTTGGAGATATTATTTTTTTTTTAGTTATTTAAAATAAAAAGTATAGTTTA